AAGTCATGGCAGAAGTCCATGAGGGCATTTGTGATGCTCACCAAGCAGGTGAGAAGATGATATGGTTGATCAAAAGGCATGGGTATTTTTGGCTCTCTATAAGGAAAGATTGTATTGATTATGCAAAAGGGTGCCAGCAGTGCCAAAAGCATAGCACTATGCAAAGAGTGCTAGCTAGGGACTTGCATTCAATTGTCGAACCTTAGCCATTTAGAGGTTGGGCAATCGATTTGATTGGCCAAATATTTCCTCTATCATCAGAACAACATGCATTCATATTAGTGGCCACAGATTATTTTACTAAGTGGGTAGAGGTAGTCCCATTAAAAGTAGTGAATCAATCTCATGTAGTTAACTTTATTAAGAAGCACATAGTGCATAGATTTGGTTTGCCACAAACAATTACTATCGATCATGGGACAGTATTCAATGGTGATAAAGTAATGGAGTTTGCCAAAGAGTATGACATTCAAATGTTGAATTCATCTCTATATTACACCCAAGCAAATGGGCAAGTAAAGTCATCAAACAAAACAATCAAAGTGACACTAAGTAAAGTGATAGAAAACAATCCAAGGGATTGACATGAGTTATTATCTAAAGTTTTGTGGGCCTACAGGAATTCAAAGAGGGATAACATTTAAGCATCTCCTTATGAGTTAGTTTATGGTCATGCTGCAGTTCTACCCTTAGATGTGACAGTAAAGTCTAGCAGAGTGGCTAAGCATTATGATATTCCTGTCGATGAGTATGTAGAGGCCATGTTTATGGAGTTGCAAGATGTAGAGTGAAAAAAGATTGATGGCTTTGATTGTATGATGTCTCAGAAAAAGAAGGTTAAGAGAGTTTATAATAAGAAGGTCAAGTTAAAACTTTTTGGAGAAGGTGATTTAGTATGGAAAACTATCTTGCCATTGGGAACAAAAGACCCTGAGTTTGGCAAGTGGTCACCAAATTGGGAAGGCCCTTTTAGGAATCATAAGGTCCTTAAGGGAGGTACATATCAATTGGTATCTTTGGAGGGGCAGCCATATAGGATGAATATAAATGGGAAGTATCTTAAGAGATACTATCCAACCATGTGGAAGACTTTCAAAGGAAGTTATTAAGTACATACAAAACAATACATTTCATATAAAGGGGGCCATTGTTTGCACCAATTTTTGTTGGTTCCTGTCGACAAGTGGACTAGTTGGGATACAACATGTGGCAAAGTCAAGTAAGGGTTCCACAGTTGTGAAAGAGGGTAAGCAATATGAGAAAGATTGATAAATATGTATTAAACAATGTTGGTGATGAAGCAGTTACTAGCTAAGTCATGGGCTTAGTGGGTGACTTCTAGAAAGAGGAAAGTGTATGGTGGGATTTTCTTTTTCTGTCGATGAAAGGTTCAAAAGACTGAGAGGTGTGTGGCAACTTAAAAGGGAAGTATCTCGATAGACAGAAGTGAAAGTTTAATGTGATTGGCAGGCCTAGAAGCCAGGAAGCAGTTACAGCAGTTACACAGTAGCAGTTGTAGATTAAGGACATCATGGGGGCATGAGAAAGAAGAAGTATAAAGGCCATGAATTTGCAGAGAGAGAGGGATCATCAACAACACAAAGAACTAGTCTAGACTTAGCATAATCTAGGAGTAGCTTTCTTAGTTTAAGAGTAGTTTCCATCTGTAATTTGTAATCTTTGTTAATATTGGTGGTTTCATTTCGAAATCATCTTTAGTTTGCTTTGTTTACTTTGCTTGATCTTGCTGATTGTAACTTTTGTTCCAAAGAAGTCCTTGTACTTTCAAGGCATTTGAATCAAAATACACAGTCGCTTGATTAGTTTGTTCAATTGTTTGTTTAAATTGTTGTTCAAATCCTGTTGATTAGGAATGAGCATAATTTTTACTAACAAAACTCCAAGCCCATTCTCTACTCTTTCCACCATTGTCACCACTACTACTACCAGCTGTCATTCCCAGTCTCGTCCTCCTCCACCCAACATGTCCATCTTTCCAAACACTAGCCAACCTAGGCATTCCAACTGCCCAACTCCTCAATTTTTTCTCGTAACCCTACATTATCTACCCTCGCTATTGCAAACTGTGCTTGTACAAATGAAAATTGCGGTCCGTTAAAGTGAAAAATAGGCATGGATATAAGTGTAAATGTGCTTGATGCAAGTGCAAACTATGTGGGTTATCAAAATTGTCACTTGAACATGTGCATGTTTTGCAATTGCATGGAGTGTGTTTTTTAGCACGATTAGGGGCTTTGAGAGTGAAGGAATGGACAATTATGGTGATTGTGG